TGCGAGTGTGTGTGTGCGAGGGTGTGTGTGTGTGTGTGTGTGTGGGTGTGTGTGTGGGTGTGTGTGCGAGTGTGTGTGTGAGTGTGTGAGCGTGAGTGTGTGCGCGTGTGCGCGCGTGTGTGTGTGTGTGTGTGTGTGAGTGTGTGCGTGTGTGTGTGTGAGCGCGTGTGTGTGCGTGTGTGTGTCAGTGGGACTCCATGGACTGTGTGAGTGACTGCAGTGTGTTGTGGGATGTGGGCATACGGCAGGAATACGTCTCCATCTGCCTCGTAAAATACTGCGCGTGTGTTGTGATTACAGACAGGAGACTCGCAGCTCCTTCATTCTCACTCTCGGTCTGCTCAAGTGCTCTCAGTGATGGTTTTTTGAATTGGTGTTCTGCCATTGGGGAATGAATTAACATCTTTATGAAATTTCATACAAATGGATTTGTGACTAAAATCTTTTAGATTTATCTTCCCTCATCTCTCTGAAGATAAGAGCCCGCACCCTGAAGATGCTGTGTTTATACTACACAACTCAAATGCATCACTGCTGTCTCTGTCGAACTCTTTCTCTCTCTCTCTCAAACTCTTGTCCACTGGGAGCTTTATTTTCCATTGAATAAAGTTGTTGATTTTACCTGAAGGTAAAATCTCTGTGATAGGGATGGTCAACACTATAAAAGACGGCAGACAATCTTCAGCTTCAGTGGCGTATATGGTAATGCGCATACTGTCTTTTTGACACGATCGACCCGGCTTCGAATCAGCCTTTTGCCAAACTTTTTTTCCCTCACTTTTCAAATCTCATATCACATCTGAAAGGCATTTATTTTCAATAAAAAATAAAGAAATAATCAAAAAGTTGAAAATAAAGTATCGGGTAGGATTAGGGTAGGTGAAGGGAGGGCATTATTGTCCCAATAAGGTGGCATCCATTTAATCATTTTAATTAAAATTATAATTTACACTCAATACATTATTACTGCATAATGTTTTATAATTTACTTTAATACTGAGGTGTAGATAATTGCCACTATTTGCTATAAGTAATATAAATAGCAGAAAATCTAGCTATTTTAACAGTGTAAATAGAATCTATCGCTATCCGCACTTAGTGTAAATAGCATATTGTTAAAAATCCTGCTATTTGCACTGTGTAAATAGCCTTTATTGCTAAGAAAATATGCTATTTTCACTTAGTGCAAATAGCCGCTGCCTTTAAATAAATCTGTTATGAAAACTTTTTTTTTTTTTTTTTTGGCAGCCACCATTTAAATGTTTAAATTTCAACAACGAATTTGGGTAGAAACATACTTATATCAGAAAGTTGATATAAAAACTACATAAACAACTCTCCATCTCTCCTGTATCGTTAGCTAATGAGCTCGCTGCTCAACATTCAAATATGTGACTAGTGCTGCCGTAGCAGTTGCAGCTTGCTTCAGAAACCCTCCACCTTCCCCAGCTCCACCTGTATAGATCTGCTACGAGGTGATTAATGTGTGCTATATGGGGGTTATTTCATGTATGTTATATTTGCAGCAGCAATATTTCTTACATGCTCACAGCAGCATGTTGTGGATATATTGGCAGTAGCAAGTCTCGGTACTTGCTCTGCCGCAGCAGCAGCAGCGTAGCAGATCTATTCCGCCAAGACCAAATACATTAACATTGTCATGTACATTACCATGCCAATCCCTCCGAGAGTTGTCATGACAGAAATTATGTTTTATTTAGTTTTAGTAGGTTTAGTAGGAGAAAGCCTCATCTAGCTAATATGCTAAATAAAAATACAACACAAAACAATAGCATTTTACATATTTGAGGGTTTTACCATTACCATTTATTACCACAAAGCTTTGTCAAACAAGTAATGTCCTGATTTGTGTCCTTTGATTAGTTTATTAAAGGCAATGTGGCAGGCTAAAATCCCTCTGTAGAATGATTTCATCCAGTAATCACAAATCGCTGTCAAAGTATTTAAAAGTCATTGTTGTGTCAGGTGTGTGACTGAGGTGTGCAGAGCATCATCTCGTTTTCTGATGCTGGCAGCCTGCATCTCTCTTCCTGTGCCCTACATATTCATAGAGGCTGATGTTCAGCTGTCATTTGCAGCTATGCCCTGTTAAAGCTCTCTGTCTGTATGTGGGTCTGTCTGTGTCTGAGCCCTCCCTCCATCTCTCTCTATTGCCTTTTCTTCTTTATTAATGAGTCGTGACAGTGATATCACTCTAAACAGATAAAGAGGCGTCTTTCTCAATGCTGGTCGGCTCTGGTAAACTCTGTGTTGCCACAGGCAGCCTATCTATCTTGCCTTAATGTGAAATGTTGAAGTCTTCCCACTTTTCAGGACTCGCTGACTCCCCCAAACACATGCCAGAGATAAGACGGACTACTCGAAACAGGAAATAAAGCAAAAAAGCAAATGCGCGTTTTGAGAGAGGGACCCCTGCCACAATGCAGCTTTTAACTAGCATTTAAATGCGTTAGATGATTGACATATTCACATTTCCTCTGATCTCCTGCAAGAGAGAGTCTGGAATTGTGCGGCTAGCTGTGAAGTGATAATTAAAGTCAGTGTGCAACTCAGTTTGCAACCTATTTTACTTCTGCACGGTGATGCATTTCCAGGAGAAACTGATATTCAATGAGAGAAAATGGATGGGATGGGATTTTATCCATTTGAAATGTATTAGATCATGAAAAGTGGGAATTACTTGCCATTTCCTTGTAATTATTTGTGAAATTTACTAGCTATGTCTGAGAGAAAATTGTTTTAAAGTAAATCCCATACCAATTTTTTCCGTTTATTAAAAATATATTATCAGTTTTGATTTCATATTATTAGGTTTACAGTAAGAGCAAGAATGAGTGTTTCTTATGTTGGTGAGGATAATTTGCTGTTTGTTTGCTTGTTTCACCGTGTCTGTTTACAAGGAGGTATGGTTAATGAACATCATATGCAGAAAAAATTTGGAAATGTATTCAATCTTCAAGCATTTGACAATTTCAGAGACATCTGTATGTACAGAACATGAGCATGAACAGGTGTTGGTTTGAAGGATGTTCTCTACTACAAACATCTGAGCATGTTTGGTATTTTTCATTCCTACAAATACATGTGGGAGTGTTTGTAACATTTTTCACTTCTTCCGAGCTGCGTCGAGAAACGCTAGGGGAACGAGAATGCCCACGCCGCCAGACTTCTAAGTCTCTGCCGAGTGTGGAAAACTGCACAGCTACGGCGAGAGGACAGAAGAGCCAGGAGTGGCTCGTAAGTCTAGGCCATAAAACCTAACAAAGGTAAGGGGCGTGGACCAACCCGCCGCGCTGCAGATGTCCTGCATTGGAACACCCGCTAAAAAAGCCTTAGAAGCTGCCACACTGCGAGTTGAGTGAGCCTTGACCCCCAACGGCGAAGGGAGATCATTATGATGTTCTGAAAATGATCACGATCTCGGGGAATAAAAACACATTCACATTAGGCACCAACCACATCACACATTCAACATGCTGTAATAATTTAGGCTTTAAAGACGCTTCCACAGGCTCCTTCAGCCCTGCAGTGAATGAACTCAAAGAAAATATAGAAGAGCCTTTTATGCTTCAAAAATCCTGTATTGATTCTAAATTAAATCAGGTGAAAGTACTTGAAACTTTGCATGCAGAACGAGTGTGGATTTGACTAGAATTTGACCTTTATCCTTGAATTATAAAGACACAAAACAAGCAGTTAAATTCTGAAAACATCTTACCGCTTATTGACCACAAGAAAACATGATTATATCATCATTTAAACCCCAGACAAAATAAAACTCAACATTGTCTGGCTCTAAAAAGATTTGTTGTGACTGATAGGAAAGTGAGAAGCACCTTGACTTGACCAGGTACAGACTCGAAATTGAGAAAGAGCTTCATGTCCTGACTGAATGCTTAAAGTTTAATGAAAACCTTGAAATGAACTAACGATATTAAACAGACATGTCACAGCTGTGACAGCGTGCTGAATGACGAAAAAGGAGCAACAGCACGGTATGTCTCTGCCTGCCATCCGTTGACCTCTCTCTCGCTCTCTCTCTCTCTCTCTCTCTCTCTCTCTCTCTCTCTCTCTCTCTCTCTCTCTCTCTCCCTCCCACACCCTCTCTCTCTCTCTCACACACTCTCTCTCTCTCTCTCACACACTCTCTCTCTCTCACTCACACACTCTCTCTCTCTCACTCACACACTCTCTCTCTCTC